TGCTTCCTGCATGCCCACTACTGAGGTTTGAGCCCGCAACCCGGGCATATGCCGTTGACTGAAATCAAACCCAGGATCCTTCAGTCTGCAGGCCGACATTCTATCCACTGAGCCAAACCGGCTAGGGCTGTACCCATGTTTAATTTTACAGGATATTACCATAATACTTCAAAAGAATGTAACAGTTCCAACTCCCACAATCATCTGGTCTCATTATAGCAGTTACCTAGGTTTATATTAAAGGCATTACACCATCTGGCCACAAAGTACCTTTCCAGTTTCTTTGTTGTTGTTAATCCTCACCCAAGGATATTTTTCCATTGATTTTTAGAGAGAGTGGGAAGGAGGGGGAGAGACAGAAAGAGAGACACATTGATGTGAGAGAGACACACTGATTGATTACCCCCATGTATGCCACGACCAGGGCTGGGATTGAGCCTGCAACTGAGGTGCACTGGGATTTAACCTGGGACCCCTCAGTCTGCAGGCCAATGATCTATCCACTGAGCCAAATTGACTAAGGCATTATCTTTCCAGTTTGATCTCCATTCTCTTCCCTAGTTGAATGCTCTGTTTCATGAAATCAATCTCTCAAAGATTTCATACACAACCCTGAAGATATTAAATTAACTGAAATAAGCCAAATACAAAAGGACAAATATTATATGATTCCACTTATATGAAGTATTAGAATAGTCAAATTCATATAGACAGAAAGTAGAATAGTGGTTACCCAAATTCTAGGTAGAATGGGGAGTTATTGTTTAATGGGTACAGAGTTTCAGTTTGGGATAATGAAAAAGTTCTGGAGATCAATAGTGGTGATGTTTACATAACATATATGAATATGCTTAATGCTACTGAACTGTACACTTAAAATTGTAAATTTTATGTTATGTATAAAATTTTTAAAAATTGCTTATGCATCCCAGCCTCCATACCTATATTCATACCAAACACTATTAGCCATTTCATCAATGCATGAATGAATCAAAACCTAACTTAACATCCTCTCTTCTCCTGGACCTTGACCCTCCTGCTCCCTAAACCCCCAGGGCTCACTCCCTTCTCAATTTCTGTGCCCCTTATTTGGCATTTAATCCTAAATTGTGCTTTAACACTGCTCATTTGTCTTTGTATCTTGCATTTTCATAAATATTGATTCTATTCAGTAAAAACTGAGTGGTTACCATTTGAGGGCTGGATGCTAAGGAAATAAAATGAATGGGAGAAAGTATGCCTCAGATGGCAAGTCTGGTGCGTTAGAGTGATGTGTTAAAACATGGCTATGACCAGAGTCAATGATGGCAGCAAGAAGAAGTGTCCAGTTCCACCCAGAGAAGATGTTGATTTTGTCTTTTTTTAAAAAAAGCTGATTTTTCTCCTTTTAAAATAGCACCCAGACATTTTATTTATTTTTTATTTTTTATTTTTATTGATTTCAGAGAGGAAGGAAGAGGGAGAGAGAGATAGAAACATCAATGATTAGAGAGAATCATTGATCGGCTGCCTCCTGCAAGCCCCCCACTGGGATTGAGCCCACAACCCGGACCTGTGCCCTTGACCGGAATCGAACCTGGGACCTTTCAGTTGGCTCTATTCACTGAGCCAAACCGGCTAGGGCACACCCAGACATTTTAGAACACCTAGAAAATATGGAAACATTTTTAAAAAGTCCTCGCACTTTAAAACAGCCATTGGTTCCTTTTTGGTATATTTTTTTCCAGTCTGTCTTTTCCTCTACACGTTTTCAGTAAATTGTTTGTAACCATATATACATGCTTTTACAGTTGGCCCTTGAACAATGCAGGAGTTAGAGGTGCTGACACCCTGTGCAGTCAGAAATCCAGGTGTAATTCTTGACTCCCCCAAATTTAATGTTGACCAGAAGCCTTACCAATAACATGAACAGTTGATTAACATATTTTGTTTTCTATGTGTTATATATATAATCTTATAATAAATAAGCTAGAGAAAAGAAAATGTTATTAAGAAAATCATAAGGAAAATAAAATACATTTCCAGTATTTATTGAAAAACACACACACAAAAATGGAACTGCGCAGTTCAAACCCATGCTGTTTCAGGGTCAACTGTGTGTATTATATATATAGTGGGGAGAACATATGCATTTTCCATTTGATTGGTTCTTAAGGGTTTTCCATTTGAAGAGGGGATGGAAGCAAAAGGAACAAAAATGATCATAGGACTTTAATGCTAGGTTCCCATTTTCCAGAAGTGGCAGCTGTAATCCAGAGAGGGCACAAGGATTTGCCAGAATTCTTGCACTTATTAAGGCAGAGTCATGACAAGAACTAATGTCTCCCGTCCAGTTAGTTGTCTTACCCCTACTCCACAATTACCCAATAGGTTGAAGAGCTAAGAATCAGCCATCTACTAAAACAATATCTGACTATTAAAATTTGTCAAGTTAAAAGAAAAGAAAAAAAAATTTGTCAAGTTATTTCACAATCAAAGAAAGAGGAGCCAATTCCCTCCCCAACCAACTAACACACACGTTTCCTCTTCATGGTCTCTATAGATCATCTGGAACTGGTGTAGGGCACTTAAGATAGGACCAGAACAGGCTATACCACAATCAGAGGAACGGATTGTGGGTAAGAACATGGTTTTAGAACCAGACTCCTTGTGCTCAAATGTATGTATGGCTGCCAATTAATACTTGTATGGCCTTAACTAAATTATTTAACTGCTCCCAGCTCCACCATTCTCAGGTACTTAGTAATGTATTAAGATTTATCATGTGCAGGACCCATAATAAGTGGTCAATAAATGTTAGTATTATCATTAGGCTGCTAAGCCAAGGATAACCTTATGACGCCAGGCACAATGCTAAATGTTTGAATAACTCCCCAGTCAGAATAGATGAAGGCTAAGCCCTTGCTTCTTCCAGATAAGAGGCTTGTCCCCTTGGATTTTACCGGTACAGCACATACACTCCTTCGTAGCAAATGCTACCTCTGTGATTTGTTTTGTACTGCTCTATACTTTACTCTTAGGCCCTCTGACTCTACTCTGAAATTATTAGAAAAACTCCTGAGTAGGTTTCGAACTCCTCTTCTTAGGGGAACTCCTAAAGACATAGTATCAGAGATGGGGGGATAGCTCTGGCGATATAGGAGGATGGGGGAAGAGGTGTGTGTGTGTGTGTGTGTGTGACTAAGGAACAGAGGGGTAGGGGAAAGTTAAACTTTTTTTAAAAATATGTTTTTATTGATTTTTATTTACTTTGTTTTTCTTTTTTAAAATTGATTTTTAGAGAGAGGAAGGGAGAGAGATAGAAGCATCGATGAAAGAGAAACAACATTAATTGGGTGCCTCCTGCACACCCCACACTGGGGATCGGGCCCAAAACCTGGGCAAGTGCCCTGATTGGGAATCGAACCATGACCTCTTGGTTCCTGAGTTGACGTTCAACCACTGAACCATACTGGCTGGGCGAAAGTTAAACTTAAAATTTTGTTTAAAATTTTGTTTATCTTTATTGTTTAAAGTATTACAGATGTCGCCCTTTATTTCCCCATTGACCTCCCTTCTTCCCACTCCTGTCCTCCCCCAGCCTTCACCCCACTATTGCCTGTGTCCATGGGCTACGCGTATATGCATCTAAGTTCTTTGGTTGATCTCAAAACCCTTCCCTATTGTGAAATCCCTGCATTCGGTAAACTTCTCTTTTCTCATTTTGCAACGGCTTGTCCCTAATGGAGGACTGCAGACTCTACTCCCTAGAGCAGGGGTGGGCAACCTTTTTTGTGAGTGCATGCCAAAACCAGCAAAATCTCTGACTCAAAATTCTTCTGCGTGCCAACCCTAATTTTTTGAGAACATGTTATGCCTACTTGATATCTCTTAAGGTGTACGTATGTGAAGAACCTTGAAAAATAATAAAATTCATTCACGTGACAAAAACACAGTATATGATGATGAAAAATACATTTATTTTTTAATGTATACATGTACACTGATAGTCCGACAGAAAACTTTATGACTCTATTTGATATTATCAGTGGGACTTTTGCTGCTGCATCACTGATGACAGAGATTTTACATCAGGTTTATATTTCGTGACCTTCAGAGCTATGCACGAGCTACTACTTTCATCCATCAGGTTACTCCATTAGGAGACTTAACAAAATACATCACTGAGAACAAAGATTCACAATTGTAAATGGAAGAGTATGAGAGGGTTTCGCGGGCCAGCAAAAGTTACTGGCATGCCATGTTTGGCACGCGTGCCAGGGGTTGCCCACCCCTGCCCTAGAGCCTTCTTTATCCTGGACCTTTTACTTCTCTGTCCCTCCTACGCTCTTCTCTCTGCTTCTCCAAAGCTCTAATAAAATAAAATTTGCTTTTACAAACTCTCTGGGTCCTTCCCGGGTCTAGCACAGCCTGTCACTCCACTTTGGGGAGATTATTTCTGTTTCAATCAACTTTCTGGAGGCTTCGGTTTATCTAGTTAACACTTGGGCAGCCCCTGGCTTTATTCTATGGCTGTACAGCCTTTTTGTGAGGATGCTTAAGTGATCTGAGCGAATCTGAGGGAAGAGCAACAGTGTTTGCCAAAGCAACCGTGGATATCAGGGACTTAATGGGAGCTCTTGGAATAGAGATTCGGGTAGGATTCTGACGGGGAGCTGCCAGTTTTAAGGGCTAAGGAGACATAGCGCCCTCTAAAGGAAGTGCGTATTCAAGCGGCTAACTCAGGGGACGATATCACGTGCTCTTCGTCCTGCCAATTGAAAATTACTATTCGCTTCCTCTGTTCCCCATGGAAACAGCCCCGCCCCATGGACCTCCCGCCTCATTCAGTGATGAGGTTTTGGTATTTTATTGAGTGTTTCAGCTGACAATCAAATACCTGCGCCTTACGGTTGGACACCTTGCTTTCGCTAAGCAAACTAGTACATTTATTGGTCAATAAAGCAATAACTGGCACCCGGCCGTCCAATAATCCCCAGGCTAGGCGGGGTCTAATGAGGGCGTCGGGCCAATCAGCGGCGGCGTTGTTTTTGCGGCTCCACGTCGGCACCAGCTGCGGGGCAAGATGGAGGCGCTGATCTTGGTAGGAGCCGGGGCAGCTGAGATGCTGCGGTGTCCAGAGGGGTCGGGAGTCGGGGTTCAGCCTGATTGGGAAGGGTTAGAAAGGGGAGTTCCGGGTAACCCTCGAGGGCCGAAGGCGCGGCCAGCCCCTGAATAGCGTGTGGCCTAGAGCAGGAGCTAAAGCCTCGGTTTAAAGTGGGAAGCTCTGCCGGGGAGAAGGTAGAGTTGGTGGAAAGTTGCAGGGAGCGCAGGGAGTCCTGAGGACGCAAAGGTTCATGAAGGAACTGAATTGGGATCTTTCAGGTTTCCCCGATTCTGAGCCTGGTGGATGATATCCTGATTTGAGTTTCTCCAAATCTCCAAACTCGCCCCGAATTGTAAGAATAGAGTGCAGGCTTCTTCTGTGAGTTGTCACAATCTGACACTCCTTTGATAATTGCCTTTCACATTCCTTCCGAAAACTGTTTTCTTTTTACTTCGGTTTCCTGTTCATCCACTTTAGATAGATTTGTCATGCTAAAGAATCACTCTTCCATCAAAGTTCTGGAATACCTGATAGAGTTAGCATGGCTTGTGGAACGTTTTTCCAGACTCCTTATTCTGCTCTCCCTTTTCCTGCCCATTTAAACTTCAGGAATTATTCCTGTGGGATCTGGGATGCTAACCCTCTCTTAGGTTATAGGGGAATCTTGGTGGTTAAAGGGGTGTATGTCCACATGCTCTTTTATGCTTGTTCAAACAAATACAACACGATTACCTCTTCTTTTAAAATTGGACCAGAGAATTTCTCTCAAAAGTGCCCCATCTGTTTCACAATTTGGAGGTGTGTATGGGAATTTAGCTCCCAGCCCCTTCCTCAATTGAGTTGAACTCTAGGCCTTTTTCTTGTCTTTTTTTCTTTCAGCTCTAATACATGTACACATTCAGATCTTCATCAGGTAAAAGAGAATAAGAATAAGAATAAGAGTTTCAGTTATCTTTTTCAAAGTAGCAAAGATAGAGATAATTGGTCAAGTCTAGGTAAAAAGCTTAACATTTGAGTAGTTTGTATTTTTTTAATCTGAGTAGTTTTTAATGAGCTATTGTCTGTCCCAAGCAGTTAATCACTGTTACCAGTTAACAGATGTGGGATAAGTTCCAGAGAATTGGTTTCTTGGGAAGTTCTTAGAAATTTTTAGACTTTCCTGCATGTGTTCAGAAGGGAGCCTGTTTATAGGTAAATGAATGAGGGAGATGATACTTGGGGAGCTGTGTGTAATGGTCAGTTGAAGGACTTATATGTAAAATCTCTTACGTTTTCTCTTACCTCAGTTCTCTGTCTCTGCTTCCTCAGTGAAGTAGATTTCAACCTGCTTCTTTCTTATATTTATTACCTAAGATGCCCCATTCACAGATCCCTGATAACCTGGTCAGGTACCCCACCCCTGAACTTTGCTTTAGAAACCGTACTGATTTTCCCAGCTGGTGTGGCTTAGTGGTTGAGTGTCGACCTATGAACCAGGAGGTCACAGTTCCATTCCCAGTCAGGGCACATCACATGCCCAGGTTGCCACTGCATTCCCAGTCGGGGGCATGTAGGAGGCAGCCAGTCAGTGAGTCTCATCATTGATGTTTCCATCTCTCCCTCTCCCTTCCTCTCTGAAATCAATAAAAATATTAAAAAACAAAACAAAAACCCCTACTGATTCTCTGTCATGATGAACCTATATAGTGGGGTTAGGAGAAACCAAGGTATAGGGAAAAGGGCTTGCTCAAATAAGTACATTGTCAAAACTAGATTAGATTTTGATTCCCAATCCCAGACTAATTCTCTAACATTACCTCATCATCAGCTTCCACCTCTTCAATATATAAAATTGTACTTTGACCATCAGTTATGTAAAGTACCGACTGGTATCAATTCTTGTGCTGATCTCCAGAGTTCTTAGGATATTAAAATAGTATTTTCCTTTATCTGTGTCAATTTTTCCAACCTTTTTTTTCCTTTTTACAATTTCAATGTATTTTGGGCTCCCAATGAATAATTTATATACCTTTCTCACCATTTTAGCCCTTCTCAATTGGAGTTCCTGGAGAAAATTAAGCCCTAATAACCTCAGGCATTGTATGTAATGAATCAACTTCTCTTTATCACAATGGTACTAGTTCTGTAACATGCTTCAGAGAAGTGAGAAAATAGTCATGGAAATAATTTTCAGCATTCAGTGGTTCAGATGAGGAACGCTTGTTGGGATTTAGGTGATATTTCCTAAGTTTTTCATTCTCTTCTCACTACCCTCACATACTGGCCCACAAAATTTAGCTCCATCTGATTCAGAATCACCCTTCCTCATTGCTCCTTTTATTTTTTTTTTAAATATATTTGTTTCTGACTCTCTATCTCTCTCCTTTCCTCTCTGTAAAAAATCAATAAAATATATTAAAAAAAAAATATGAAGAATCCTTGGATCTGAACTTAGCTTTCTTCTGAACTAAAGAGTTTACTGTAACAGCATAGTATTTAACAAGCCACTCCTTAGAAAGGGAGAGAACTTCTAAAGTTCCTTTACGCTTCCTTCTTTCATCTATCCACCGAGCCAAACCGGTTTTGGCTCATTGCTCCTTTTATTCTCTTCCCCTCTTCTGTCTACTCAGCAGTACCACCTGATTCTTACGTCACCATCTTCATTATGAAAAATATGAAATTTTAGAGAGAAACATCAGTGTGAGAGAGAAGCTTCGTTAGGCTGTCTCCTGCATGCCCCTTATTGGGCATCGAACCTGAAACCCAGGCATATGCGCCAACCAGGAATCGAACACTGAACTCCTGGTCCATAGGTCAATGCTCAATCACTGAGCCATGTTAGCTGGGCTCCTTTCACATTTTTATTACCTGGTTTGGCTGAACCTCTTCAGAAATCTGATCAAAGCTATTCTATCCTCACCTCTGCAAGCACATACCTGTAGAATATTGAGAAGAAAGGAAGGGTAAGCTAGAGGAGATCAAGAAGAACCATCAATTGAAATTTGATCTGATTATGAGTATATCTAAATATCACTAGGTTCTCTTCATTTAAGGATTTTACAGTGGGTCACATTTCTTTTTGTTTCGTTTTGTTTTAATTTTTTAAAATTTTCTTGTTTGTTAATCCTTGCCAGAGGATATTTTTCCATTGATCTTTTAGAGAGTGGAAGAGAGAGGGAGAGACAGAGAGAGACATTAATGTGGGAGAAACACATCGATTGATTGCCTCCTGCATGAGCCCCGACCAGGGCCCAGGGCCCGGGCCGAGGGGGAGCCTACAACCAAGGCACATGCCCTTGACCGGAATTGAACCTGGGACTCCTCCGTCTGCAGGCCGACGCTCTATCCACTGAGCCAAACTGGCCAGGGCACTTTTCTTTCTTTAATTAAATAATCCAGCCCTAGCCCTCAAGCACATTCATCTAATCTTTCTCAGGTCTCCTTGTAGTCTCTAAGGAAACAACATTTCATCACCTTCTGTTCCTAGTACTTAGTAATGATGCTCCCAGCCTTCATCTGTGGACTTAGCTTTCTTTCTCCTGCTGTTTTCTTTTTTTTAAATATATTTTATTGATTTTTTACAGAGAGGAATGGAGAGGGACAGAGTTAGAAACATGGATGAGAGAGAAACATCGATCAGCTGCCTCCTGCACACCCCCTACTGGGTATGTGCCCACAACCAAGGTACATGCCCTTGACCGGAATCGAACCTGGGACCCTTGAGTCCGCAGGCCGATGCTCTAACCACTGAGCCAAACCAGTTAGGGCTCTCTTGCTGTTTTCTGCTGGTTATCCCTTCCTTGTGAATGGAGAGGGATCCCTTCAGGTCACCATTCTCCTTTAATAACCTATGGAATCTTAAAGATAAAGGCTTATCCCCTTCCTTCCTTGGTTTACCTTTTTCCTCAAAACGAATTATTCTAGCAGACTAGATCCTTAAATCTTCCTTCATATATTTCATTTCTCAGTCCTCTTTGGGTTCACTTTCAGAGTGCTTTTCCAGTGCTTTATGGACCAGACTTCTTGTTTGAATCTTTTTCTCTCCCCTTAATAACTTTTTTATCCTAAAAAAAATTACCAAATCCCGAATTGTAAACCTCATTCAAACACCAGGGCATCCAAAGTGCACAAGAGTATGCACATATGGAGGAGGAAACTATGCAGAATACATCAGTGAGTCTTAAAGGTTGATATTGCTCTGTGGCCTTCGCTCCCTGAATCATCTTAATGGGGCTTTTGTTAAATTCCTTTGGCACTAACAGTAGAGGTACTTGGCCTAAATGTCCCCTCCTCCTGCTCTGGGCAAAGGTATCAATTACATTAAGCCCCCAAAGCACTCCCATCTCCTTCCTGGCAGTCCCCTGTGCCCCTCTCCCAGCTGTGTCCTTGCTGGTGCCTGGCCCCTCCATTTCGTTAGGAGAAACAATCTCCTCGTTCCTGCACTGTGGAGATATATTTCTCAGCTAGGGCGCGAGCAGTGCCAGCACTGCCCCCGGTGAGGTCCCTGGCAGCCATAAAAATTTTTATTGTGATTATGTTGGTGTCGGGGTGTCCATCTGGGTTATTGCACACCTAGTTTAATTGATTGAAGTTTAATTTATTGACACTTCAAATTAAATGATCAGAATAAACTGTGCTGTTACTCTGGCCGGCTTGTTTTAATGGTTGATTGCTGGAAGCAGACCTCGGCTTGAACTAAAACCCCTAAAGAGCAATTGACGCTGCTTCTAACTCTCCCCATGTCTTGCCCTCCAAGAAGACCTCGTTATAGATTTCCGACGTATTTATATATATTTTTTCCCTCTCCTTCATAGTGGTGGGAAAGAGCTGGTCCCTGGCAAGGTATAAATTACATCAAAGGTCTAGGAGAGCTGTCACGGTCAAAAGAGGAGGAGGGGTCTCCACATGAAGAGAGCCAGACCCTTGAGAAGCCAGGTCTTCCCTGGGAGGTAGAGGATGAATGCAATTATCCAAATATTTGAAGGAGCGTAGTGGCAGATTTAAAATCTTCCTCATCT